ACTACTAGCGTGGCACTTGTTACTACTAGCGTGGCACTTGTTACTACCACATCCCAAGAGAAATCTTCAAAACTCGGATCGATGAGTTTTCCAGCCACGCCGCCGGGTGCATCCCCCGCTCGTCGTAATTCTGCTTGGCGACCTGAACGACGTATGTGGCACGCGTGCCAGCACCCGTGCGCGTGGCCCAGCACAGGTGCGAGGTGGATGTGGTGTTCGCGGGAGTTTCTTTGCGCAAAGAAAGAGGCTTTTGATGATGATGGTCTCTTGGGGAATGTTGCTAGACAGCTTGAGATGAGTTTAAGTTAAGGTCAAGCTCCTTTTCCTTGGTGCTGATGAATTGCACTCGGCAGTTCCGGATATGTTGTCCAAACATTGATGGAACAGGCCAATTGTCTGCATTGTCCAGGTTCAGTGGTCCAGTGACTCGTTCACGGTAATTACATTTGAATTGTATGGCCTTCTGAAGTAATCACTGCATCCAGTGCGTTCCTTTCTTTTCATCACCACTCCCTTCGCTATGTACTCTACCCTGGCATTGGCTGAAAACGGTGTTGTGTTCCAGAAGATTAGAATGATGGCGTCGATATTGTCATTGCTGTTAATAGCCCCTAACGGCCTGATGTAGTGCTGTGATTCCCTCTCTTGTTACATCTTATCACTGATAACCAGTCTTTTGCACGAATGCTAAGAGTTGGAACTTGCAGCACTTGTTCTGGGACCAGTGCCTCTCAGCAGCTTTTTGCCATGAAGGCGTGAGAGATAGTGCCCACCACGAGAGAGTGTGAGAACACCACCAAAACGGCCAGCGAAGTCGTTTCCCCACCTTCACCAGCTCACCCAAATCTCTGCAGGTCTTGATGGGACCTCTGGATGAACTTTTCCTGCCAAGTGGAGAGGAAGAGAAGGATCCTTCAACAGAGCTGTGCGGGAGGACATTCTGCCAGTTTCCTGTATATGTATATGGGTGTCCCATTCTTTGGGAGACCCCTTCTTCCAGGATGTCTTTGGGAGGTCTCCCTATTTCGATGCACACCCAGCCCTTTTCTTGAAAAGGGGAGGCCTGGTCATGACTAATCGAACGACCGCTAGTCCTCAGGTCGCAGATCCCCGTCGCCGGGAGGGGGCCGGCTCAGTTGTACACTGTACACCTCCTTGAGGAGCGGAGGAGGATAGCATGATATTCCCAGACTTGTTGGGATGTACCACACGATGTAACAGAGTGCTTGTCTCTCATTCTTCAGGACTCGGATGGTTTTTCAATGATTTTTTTTAGGGGTTGGACCCACCTTGCAGCCAAGCACCTCTATCTATCAGAGTCTATGACTATTGTCATACTATATATCTTGATTGATTGCTTTATATACCATGAGCTCCTGCGACCGGCAAAAGACCCGCCTCGCTCAGTCCCAACCCCAAAGCAGCTCAACTCCTAACTTTGATTCCAAAAATCACCCAACACACCAACTCCTTCACCCTAAGCTAGTGAGACAGTGCCGTCATCCTCACAACCAAAATGAAACACCCCAACTCCTTCACCCCCAACTCACCCGCACCCTCCCACCCGTCTCGTTCCAGTACCCTCACCCCTCACCATCAATCAAGGCCGGTGTCGTCACGAAAGCCAAACCCACCTCAAGGCCACGTGGGAGACGACGATCTGCGCGATGCGGTCCGCCATGAGCGGATCTCCGTCCTCGCCGTACTCGCGGATCACCCAGGCCAGCTCCTCCCGAAGTCCAACGGTGCCGGGACAGGACCGAGCGACAGCGCCCGAGCGACCGGGAGTGGGCCAAGTTCGGTGAGGAGATGGTTGGAGGCCCCGAGTTGGGGTTGTTTGGAGACCAGGGACATTTCTGAAGCCAAAAGCAGTGGTTTCATTGAAAGGCAGTTGATTTCAAGTCGCATCCCTCACTCCTTCCCCCTGAGGTATGGCAAGGAGAACTGGACTCCAACCTGCCAGTGCCGGAGTCTCCTCAGTGGTCGCCTCCAGGAGCCATTGCCAAGCCGGAATGCCCACCTGCTGGTTCATCCGCAGGTCCAGTTCTGCATCCTTCCAGCGTCAAGCAGCTTCTTGGGCGATTCCGGTCATGTTAGTTCCGGTGGCGATTCCTTTTAGCGCTGTCTTCCTCACTCTATTTTCTGGCACCTTCATGCGATTGAGAGGCATAAGGCTGAGGAAGCGTGGAGTGGAGCATCTCTGACGGAACGATCAAAGGGCAACCTTTTAGTCAACGATTCTACATTTACGACATGTGTCTTCTGCATCATTTATATATATATATACATGTAACGTTGCCACCAAGTCCGATTTCCGCGCGGTACAAATTTGCACATAGCGCCAGACTTGGCATCCCAACCAAGAGCAGTCATCAGGGGGAAAGGGTTGCCATCTGGGTCCCCGTTCTGGTTCAAGTTTACCCAAAACCAAGTTGCATCAGTTGTTTCATGTGGCCATGATACCCATGTGGGACAAAACGAGCCTCAGCCGTGACGCCAAAGCCCCTGTGCCGGTCATCCAGTTGAGGGCTTGAAACGCCCAGATCCACCAGGAGCCCATCCTCAGTGCTGGGAAGGTGCGCCCAGATCCAGACAGAACGGCGTGTTTTGGACTCTCCTCGGATCTTGCGGCCCAGGTGTTTTCAGGTGTGTGTGTGTGTGTGGATGTGTGTTTTGGGGATGTATATATATATATTGGTTATTGGTATCAGCCTAACTCTCGGAATTTCAGGTATATATGTTAGGCTGATAGTTAGCTTTTCAGGTGTGTCGTTTTAGGGTGATAATTTATGTAATTTGTGTTCTTTCTGTGCGCGCGAAGGATCCGAAGATGAAACACGCCTCGTATATATAATGATGAAAATAGAAAGCCTCTGATGAAGCACTTGATTGGGGATTGGAGATCAGACTTTGTGCGGGTCATGGGTGATGAAATTGATTGGTGGAGGTTCGCCCAAGTAAACCGCTGAAGCTTATATGGGAGGCAGTTTCCTGGTTCCTGGTTCTTTTGCGACGCATCTGTAGCGGATGGACAACAGGTGAATAGAGAACAGGAGGTTGGATCTTCACTTTGGAAACATCACCTGAGTGTTGAGCCTAAAAGAAAATCAGAATAGCCCTCAAGGCTCCTGGCACGACAAAGTCTTTGGAGGCACATTCCATGTCAAACTTCATGGGGCATCGGTATCGGTATCAGCCTAACTCTGTATCCGCAATTGATATCTGTGCGGATTGTCCACATCAATCTCCTAGTGGTGCCCCCAGAATTGGAAGCCAACCTCGGATTCTTATGCATATGAGGCGGATTTTGTCAAGCCATCTAGTCCCCAAAATGGTTCCAGAACAACACTTGTCCACTCCACCTTCTCCACCTTCAACCTCTCACACTTTCGCATTAGTTCCACTCTTACTTAACCTTCTCCTTCCTTCCTTCCTTCTCCTTCTTCTCCTTCCTTCTCCTTCTTCTCCTTCTCAACCGAGACCTTCCTTCCTTCCTTTCCGAGACGCAATCTGTGGCGGGGGATTCCCCAGGGTGCTCAACTCCTCCCTGAGCTCCGAGAAGGGCCGATGGGCGATCCGGAACCGCGGGTCCTGGCGCAGCGCGGTGCACGTCCGCGCGTCGGGTCGAAGTACTGTGGAATGGAGACCACACTTCTTGCTTCCAATAGCTTCTTGTTACTCCTAGTAAGGCACCTGTTACTACTAGTAAGGCACTTGTTACTAGAAGCGATGCACTTGTTCCTAATAGCTTCTTGTTTCTAATCAGCCAACATGTAGCCTATGTATGTGAAAAATGCCAGGAAGAGGAGCTGCTGATTTAGGGATTGGTGTTTTTTCCGCTGATTCTTGTTCCAGCAAACATCTTCACTGTTCAGTTGATTCTCCAACTCCTATTGGGCGAAAAGCTTCTGACATCCAATGGGTCTTCTGGGGTCGGGGTTCCTCCTGGTGGATTTACTGGCAGTTTCTGCTGGAGTATGGTGGGATCCTTGCTGCTCCTGTTCAATTCTGAGTGTTCTTCAAAGAGTTTCTAGCTATCCAGTAGCAATTGGGAAAGTGGGCAGTCCAAGAAACAAAGATAAAGTTGAAAGTTGTATAAAGTTGTCATGTCATGTCAGTCAATGGGTCCTATTCCATCTGCTGCAGGATCCCATTCCGCTGTGTTTCCAATTTGGCTGTGAGTCCAAACAACCTCCAAACAACCGTGTAATCCATACAGCAGATCTACATCGATTACTAGGGGCAAAGTACCCGCCCCCCACGTGGCGCTCCTCTCGCTCCAACTCCTTGGCCACGGCCACCGCCTCGGGGTCCTGGAGCGGGCGAGCTCCCCGCGCTCCGTTTCTCGGCCCCGCTCTTTGGAGCACCGAGGAACCCTCGACGTTGCGATGGTCGCCACAAACCGGAGGATGAGCGGCGTTTCGGGGCGAGACAAAGGGCGTTTGGTCGGTGTTCCTTACGACAAACACATCGACCGTGGATGGGACCCACAAAGGAACGCTAGTCTCCACTTCCGAGTTCGTGGGACCAGAAAACCAGAAACAGCCCAGCTTCCGAAAGACCCTTCTCTGGCGGAACGCCCTAGAGATGCCCAGCTTCCGCCCTGTTTGGACTCTGAGCTATTCCGTTTGGACCCAGACAGCTTCAATACCACCCAGGTCACCCACATCCTGCAAAAGCAGGCCTGGTTGGGGCGTTTCTTCTGCATCAGCCAAATGATCAAAAAGATATTCCATCGGCAATCTCTGTTCCAGCATCTCATGCCCACGTTTTCCACCAACCTGCACGGTAAAAAAAAGATAGGTAAAACAAAAAGATCCGCTCCACATCAAAGGCGATGAGGCGGCCACTGGAGGAGAGCTGCGACAAGATATGCTTCGTGTGACCTCCTGTCAGCCATCAGCGGCCCGCCAGGGCCGCAAGACCGCGGGAATTGGTTGTCTTGAAAGACCAGTGGAGTGACAGACAAAGGTGAAGTCACCAGTGAAACCGTTGCTGAACAGGACGTTCGGTGAATTGGAAGGCAAGAGATGTGAAGGGGGCAGACCTTAATGTGAGAAGACAAGCGAAAGACATCAAGGGCCTTAATTGCACCTCCAAAGTGGGGATCTGTGCGCAGCTGATGAAGAAGGCAGCGTGAGCAAGGAATGCTCAACAAATAATCTCTCTACATAGAAGAAGACCTCAAAATGTTGGTAGACATGGAGGACCACACTGTTATGGATCGCTGATTCACCCATTTAGCATGGACCATAAACGAAAGAGTTGCAATGTAGGATCTTGATCAATAAAAGCCCCCATATGAGGAGGTTGTCCATGTCACTTCAGACCCTGCACTCCACCTGTGGGCAAGGGATGGTTGGTGGGGGTGACGTGCCCGCAAGTCCGCACATCCAAACCGGAGGGGGGGGGTTCAACTCCATGAAACCCACAGGTCTGGCAAGAGAACCTTGCTTCCAAACAAAGCCCCACACCCAGCTCCGCTGGACCCGGAGCCTCCCCTCCTCGGCCGAACGTACAATCGACGTAGAGGCCATCCACCGTTCCGTCCGGGCGACACTTCGGATGAGCACTTCGCCTCACGCGCGTGGACGTCGTGCGCAGCGCGGCCGCGCAAGGCCGGTCGTGCGCGCGCGAGGCGAGTGTCATGTGACGAGGCCGGGGTGTCACGGGGTGTCCTTGTCTTCACAGGTTGGACATCGTTGGTCCCTCAGCGTTCAGAGTGGCATGAGTGCATCGCGAGGGGGTCTCAAGCAACGCACGAGAGGAGGTCGCCCATGTTTGCAATTGATTGCAGCAAGGATTGGAACACGACCCCCTGCGAAGGCCATTCTATCTCTCACCAAAAAAGTCTGTTCCCCTTGCATCCGGTCCTTCAGTTCATGGAGAGATGGCTTATCAATTCACGTTTGAAAATACGTCAACTTGACCAATTCTAGCTTATTTTTGCAGTGAGAGGTGCCACACACATCCCTGCGGCCCCGCAGCCTGTCAGGCAGCATCTCTCGTACTGCATCCTCTAAGTGACCTCGGCGACCAATTCTGCTGGAGCTACTGCCAGACCAAGCGTCCGCTGTTTGGGGATGTTGCACTGACGTTGTTTTGCGTCCCCTGATCACAATTTCACGTGTTCCTCTTGGCAAACGAGCTGTGAAGACAGTCTCTATTGAATTGCAAATGAAGGTCCAGGCATAGAACAGAACAAGTAGCTTCTAGCTACTAATAGTAATGCCCTTGTTACTATATAGTAGTAATGCCCTTGTTACCAGTAGCTTCTAGCTACGTATGGCCAAAGAAAAACGTAAACCAACACAGAGCCAAGTGAGCCACTGCCAAACGCTCCTTGTTCCCGCGCGGTGCGGATATCAGCTTTATCTCTGCCACTTGAACATAATAATAGAAATTACACCACCGTAGACCCCAAACAGTTTGTGTTTTCAAAATCGAAACTAGAGCTTGCGACGTCCAGAGCTGGGAGATAAATGTAAAGGATTGCAAGGCAGAGACGGACACAGCAGTACAGAGCGGGGGGGACACATCTTAAGAAAGAAGTGAGAAGCCCTAACAGTAAACCTTTTGGGGAATTATTCTTCAAGCGCGAACATGATGCTGGTCATGCTGCTCAGTCAGCGGGGAGCTGACCACGTGAGGACAAGAAACAAAAGCATGAGGAGCGAAGGATGTGACATGAAATTGATTTTTGGCGCCTGACATATGCCCTCCGCCCCAACTGAATAGAGAGATCGCTGCCACACCGCCGAAATCCAATCCGGTCATTCATCCAACGGTTGCCCGAGAAGGAAAACAAAGCTGAGAGAGTTACACACTGCGGCAGGAATGCAATCCCGGAGACAGTCACGCACCCCTTGCAAAGGAGCAAGAACCTTTCACAGGCGAACCTGTTCCAGCGGACAGGGCAGAAAACAGCAGTGCAGGCACCAAACCTGAAAGACAAAAAGAAAGAAATCACATGGGAGACAAATGAATGGAAATGCTACATGGCCAGCAGAAAAGGGCGGCAGCACCAGTGACAGACCCGGGAAACAAATTAATAGAAATGCTGCATGCCCAGCGGAAAAGGGCGGACACCAACAGTGACAGACCTGGGAGACTAATGAATAGAAATGCTGCATGGCCGACGAAAAGTGCGGACACCAGCAGTGACAGACCTGGGAGACAAAACACTGGCAGTGACAGACCTGGGAGACAAATGAATAGAAATGCTACATGGCCAACGGAAAAGGGCGGACACCAACAGTGACAGACCTGGGAGAC